GGACTGATGTGGATTCCACTAACTTGAAGGGAGAGTGGAAGAGGAGGATCAGTATTAAGAGGAGGAAAGACAAGGAGCTCAGTTTTAGAGAGAATTATTTTCAGAAAGATGGGAGGACATCCAGTCAGAGATGGAAGAAAGGCAAGCAGTGACATACAACTACTATAGACATAGATTTGCAAATCCCTGTTACAAAAGTCTTAGAGCAAACAGGTGATTGCTTAATACAGGATAAAGTGCTACAGTAATTAATACAGTTTATGTAAACACAGTCCAGAGCCAGATGGTATTTACCCATGAGTACTCAGAGAGCTTAGTGTAGAAATATCCATACCACTGTTTTTAATCCTGCAGGATTCTTTTCTTTCAGAAGATATAACTTATCTACAGAGGAACTTGAATAAACTGGGGGACTGGGCAGGAAAGTGGCAGAGGAGTTTCTACACAGATAAATGCAAAGCCATGCATCTTAGAATAAGGAACTCACAAGCTACTTATACATTAAATGGGGATGAGTTAGTGATAAGATCAAATGAAAAGGACTTGGGAAAAATTATAAATGGCAAACTATGCAATGCAGGTCGACCGCTGATAAAACTAGCAAGGTTTATTGTTTCATGTGATCAAAACACGTTAATCACTTCATAAATCACTGGTAAGACTCCACCTTATAGGCAATTTTAGGAGCCAGTTTTAAAGAAGGATATTGCAGAATGAAAAAAAAAAAGTGCAGAGGCGAGCTACAAAATGAATCGGTGGTGAAAAACATTAGTAATCACAGATGGATTGAAAATCTGCATTTGTTTTCTTTAGAAACAAGGCATCTCAGAGGAGATATGGTAGTACTATACAAATATATACAGGGTCGGTACAAACTGCTATGCGCTAACCTGTTTGCAGGAATATACAACTGACAAGCAGTCACCCATTGATACTGGAAGAAAGGCATGTTCACTTACAGCAGAGGAAATGGTTCTTTCCAGCAAGAACAATAAAGATGTAGAGTTCTATGTTTTGTTTCTTCAAATATATATTCAAGATTATTTAATATTCAGATGGGCCATATTTGGTGGCCCTAGACTTATAGATGAGCTTGATGCAGTGCTCAAAGTGTGCACTACATACAGATCTTTAAATCTATTTTAATTCCTACAACTGCTGTGATTCATTCTGTCCAAGGGAGACCCCCAGAGTGTAAAAATATCCTGACAGGGTCTCCCTGCATTATAAAACACCCCTTCATGTCTCATTAGAGATGTTTACCTTTATCTGATACCAGCAAAGTTTATTGTGTGTGTAGAAGCCCTATAAAGGGTTAAATGTGAAAGGATTTATAAAATACTCCTTTCTGTCTCATTAGAGATTCTTGGCTGATATCAGCTAATCTAATGGCTAGTGTAGGAACTCACTATTCAGGCTTGCCTTGACTTGGCAGGTGAGCTTATATTCAAATGGCCATTGGAATAAAACTAAAGAGCCTCCATTTTGTTTAAATGTACATAGGGATTTAGTCCAGAGCGCAAGTAACGTTCTCTTTGTTTTTACTATGTATTTTGAGCTGTTGGATACTAAGCTATGCTGCTCTAAGCGAGGTGCTTTATCTTTTTTGTTTGTATTTAACAATCAGAACTGATATGTGAATCTTTTTCGAGGTGTATTTCTGTAGCTGGTCTTGATGTGTTAAAATTATTACAAGCATATTTTTATCCCAATTCTTTACATTTTATACACACTTAATATTGTGGTAGGTATACATATAGAATATTAAAAGAAAGATGTTTCTGTCCTTGAAAACCAATATATTAATTATATGTATGTGGGCCCCTAAAGAGACCCTTAAACTATGGTAAATCAAACACAGCACAAATTTTAGGTTTTGTTTTGGTTTAGAATATGGACAATTGCTTCCATCCTTAAGTGGTAAAAATTACAAGAATAACCATAATTGACTCACTTTGAATATATTTAGTGGATGGACAGACTTGCACTTGCAGGTCTGCAACAGCAGATTGGTGGCAGAACATCACTGATGGTGGATTAGGTCTGCCTTCTTCCACTCCCTACATGCTGTGTGGAGATGGCCATGGTAGCAGCCTTTCCAAAGTGCCAAATAACCTATATTTAATTTTTTTCAATTTTTATTAATAATTATTAATAAATTGCATCCTGTAATCCCAACAATCGCTCCTCTCCCATCTCTTCTTTCCTCGCCTACTAGTGAGAAACAGAGGTAGAACAGCACTCAGCAGGGCTTATGTTAGCTGTCTATCAGATTGCATAAGCACCAGTTGTTGCTCTTCACACACTCTACTGCTTATACCTGCCATAACTCCTCTTATAGTCAATAACAGTTTTGAAGGAAAAAGGTAGTGCTGGTAGAGTAGCTGCTGCTGTGGTGGACTGTTCTTTGCCGTGAGTGGCCAGCCAAGCGCAGTGCCCTAGGTGGAACAGTCACCCCTGTACTGCCATGATGTGGGACAGGTGACAGCAATATGTGCAGCCCCCCTTCCAGCTGTCACCTGGGGCGGATTGCTCCTGCACCTTCCTTAGTTTGCTTCTCCCTGGGACATCTTTAAGAACACAATAACTTTAGAGTTTTTATTCGTGTAGTCTACACAAAGAATTGCCTATTAACTTAAATATGAGGAATCATTTTGCATTCTTTGTTAATTAAGTTGTAAAGTGGAAGTGCTACTGATTAATTAAAACCTCTCCGTAGTCTCCTTATATTTGATAGGACTTTTTTTGACTAGGGTATGCCAAAAAGAAAAGTTTGTGTTTTAGTTTATTAAACACTTTATCTAACTTTACATTAACATCTGGTCCTGCTTTGGACATTTTTCTGGCTTTGGTACCCATTTTAAAACGATTAATTAGCCCACTAGAAATGGCGCTGTATGTGCTTGACAATAATGTTACATAAGATCCCTATTGTATTAAATAGATGAAGTAATGCAAAATTCATATATATCAAAGAATTTCCATTGTTTACGCTGAATAATGAATCTATGGGCATAAAGACATACCTGTCTTACCCTGAATTATTACTCTATCCGCATTAAGACATATGTAAATGCATGTGACAACCCTGCTGTCGATAGAGAGCAGGTTTGTCACATGGATTTACATATGTCTTTATGCTGATTCCCAATCCCCAATGCTTGAGAATCACCTCCTTCCCAACAACAATAATTAGCATTGGCAAATTGCCAACTACTGCCCTTATTCACATGTGATTTCCATTGAATAAAGACAACATTTTATTCAAAACAGACCTGCAACTTGAACACATAAGCTCAATGCTTATATGTATAGCTGGACTGCAGTTTGAATTACAGATTGAACAATAACATTTGCATTGAGTTTTCTTTGGCAGAGTTTGTTTTCTTATATTTAATATATTGAAACATCTGCTAAGGAACTAAACTATATACTGCTGTTTGCTATAACAAAATAAGTCACTATTAATTAATCATTATTGATTATATTACTATAAGTAACATGGAAAAAAACATTTAAAAAGAGAGGAAAAAATAAAAAGCTGTGTTATATCTGCACCTGCATTTAAAATGAATATATGGCAGAAAAGTAAACCAACTGCATAAACGTTCATTAAATCTGTGCTAATGTCTGCTATGTATGAAAAGTTTTTATAATAAATAACTTCCTGAACTGTTAGTTAAAGGGACTCTCCAGTGCCAGGAAAACAAATCCGTTATCCTGGCACTGCAGTGCCCTCCTCCCTTCGACCCCCATCCCATGTTGCTGAAGGGGATAAACCCATTCAGTGACTTACGTGAATCCAGAGCCGATATCCCTCGGCGGTGGTTCAGGCTCTGCCCACGCTCCTCCCCCGCCGACGTCAGCCGGCGGGGGAGCCCTAATGTGCATGCGCGGCAATGGCTTTCCTACAGAGATTCCTACAGATTCCTACAGAGATTTAGGCGGCGACATGCATAGTGTGAGGATGTCCAGCATAGTTTAAAACACTTTTCGTGTTCTAAGAACATGGAAGTCCCTCTAGTGGCTGTCTAATAGACAGCTACTAGAGGAGGACTTAACCCTGCAAGGTAAGTATTGCAGTTTATAAAAACTGCAATAAATACACCTGCAGGATTAAGGGTGATGGGAGTTGGTACCCAGACCACTCCAATTGGCAGAAGTGGTCTGGGTACCAGGAGTGTCCCTTTAAATAAGGAGAAACTGTATTTTTTGGCCATATTATTTTGCTTGTCATCGATTGGATATCTATTGCCATTTTCCTATTATTATTTTCATGTACTGAGTAGGAAATTTATTGTTATCTATTAACTTTTCTTTCATCATTACCCAATGAGATGTGATGCCCCCTTTGAGTAATACATTGCCATATATTCCCTGCAAGGGCACAGAGATCTTGTATGTTTAAGAGCACTTTGTCACAAACTTACCTGCACCAAGAGCTCACGCTTCTCCTCTAAATGGGCCATGCGAGCCGAACACTTTGCATGGCCGAATTGCTCCACTCCTTAAGTCATGCTGCCTGAAGGTTCCATGTTGCTGTGAGACCTGAACAGCGAATAGAGTATACTTACCATTCAACTTCACGAACAGCTCCCTCTGGTGGTTAGCACAGACCAAAATCCATGCTTCTGTTTCTTCCCTGTAATAGTATAGATGCTGCTTGCTGTATTGGCACGTCTTAAATTGCGTGACGTCACGCTTGCCCTTAAAGTGGCCATTTCCTCTAGGTGGCTACATATTCTATAAATTTTGAATCACTGAGATGACAAGGACCAATCTGAAAGTGTGTTAGCCTATATAAAGTTAATTTAGGCCCTAGTTAATTGCCCTATTGTGGTTTCTGCTTTGATACACGTTAGTGCTCATAGTAACTCTCTCGTAATATTTTGATATTGACCTTGGCTTGTAATTGACTTTATGTATTTCTTGCATCCTGTCATGACTTGTTTCAGACCTTGAGTATTCATGGTATCCCGACCTGGCTTGTTAATCAATTAATCTGTATTTCTATATTCCTGACCTTAGCTTTACCTGACTATTTTTATCTTTATTAACAAAAGGTCCAGTACACACAAGATACACATTTATGTGAAAGCGCCAGACATAACATTATTAAAGATAAAAACAGAGTCAGGTAAAGCCAAGGTCAGGAATATAGAATACAGATAAATTCCACAGCTGCATTTAAAGACACATACACTCAATTGAATGCTCCACCTACTACTGTATGTATTTTCTACGTCTATTTTTTAAATTGTATTAGGGGTACCCACTTAGGTGTTTGAGCATCCACCACCATTACATACCCAAAACTGTGCTCTTTAGTACTTGTGATTGTATATTTGATTTCCCCTATCACAGTTGGGATTGTATCCACTGAGTATGTCTTTTCTTGAGAATAGAGAAGTTAATAAAAAGAAAAAATATCCAAGAGATACAAATGATTATAAAACAGGTAACATAAGGTTCCCTAATAAGTCAAATAAAAGAAGATAATATTGGCACTACAAAAGTCAAAATAGACCACAAGATAAAGAGAGATCCTCCTATAATAGAAGACCACACGGTGGAACTTCTCCCCATGAAAAACCAAACACAACACAAACACAAAGTAGGACCAAAATAGAGATAGAAGACAAAATGCAGAGATTACTCCATTTGAGAGGCCTAACACAATACGAACACAGAAAAAGAATCAAAATATGGATGCCACCCGAAAAAGAGGATATCCCAACAATAGACGCAATTCAGAACACCAGTATCAAAAAAGCTATAGTGAAGCAGTAAAATCCAGACCACCAAGGAGAGACGGAAATGAGGAAACGCCACACATTTCAAGAGAATATAGGAGAAACTCTAGAGAGATCAGATCCCCACCTAGGATCCATGGAAACAGATTTGAAATCCCTAGACATGAACATCAAAAGTGGAACAGGATGATTCTTTTTTTCACAAGGGCAGAACCACAGAAGAAAAAATGGCAATACAAATCAATATCATGGGAATCCCCAGGCAAAAATCTGAGACCCACAGAAGAAGAATAAATAGAAGAGGAAGAAAGAATAGTGAACAAAGAAAAGAGAGGGGAAAAATAGATACAATGGCATCTTCAACCTCAAAGGACAACCATTGTCCCTTGAAGAGACACAGACCCTCAAAAAAGGACTCAAATTTGCCTCTAGTGCAGAACTCAACAAGTTCGATTTCTTAAAAAAAATGAAGATTACATTATAATGCCCAAAGACAAGGGGGGAGGGGTTGTAGTACTTTCAAAAGATCAATATATAGAGGAAGCAGAGAGAATATTATCAGATGATACCACATACAACAATTCATAACAAACCCGACAAAGGAAATAAAAGACAAAGTTGGCAAATATTGAAAAGGGGGTGAACAAAGGGATTTTAACTGAAAGAGAGGGCATTGATCTATCTACACCAGACCCTATTATTCTGGTTTTCTACCATCTACCGGAAATACACAAGAACTTACAGCACCCTATTTATCCTACTTGAATAACAATGAATGGGGAATCATCCTAACATCTGTATATAGTCCCACAGATATTAATTTTTTAGACCTACACATTTTTATTCAAGGCGCACAAATCAAGACTAAGAATTTCTTTAAAGCTGTCAATGCTAATGGATATATTGAAAAAAAGACTTGCCACCATAAACCATGGTCGAACAATGCACCAAAGTGACAATTTATGAGGATCATAAACAAAATGCACAGAAAACCATGGTTTCCTACAACAATCTGAAAAAATCAAGAGCAAATTTCTAGAAAGAGCTTATGAGGAGAAGTTGAAAGAAACAATAAAAGATATTGAAAGAATCCCAAGGAAAGATCTTTTAACATATAAAAAGAAAAATGAATTAAAAAAGGAGAATTACATATCTTTTATCTGTAATTTTAATGGAAATAATAAAAGTGTAAATAGAGCAATTAGAAAATACTGGCACAAGATGATCCCATTTTAAAAGAAATTATACCAAAGAAATCATATATAGAGGAGCGAGAAATCTAAAACGAACCTTAGTTCAAAGCTGCAAAGGCCTGGAAATACCCCACCACGTTCTAAACTCAAATGCAGGATTTTATGGTTGTGGCACATGCTTAGCATGTAGGGCCACTAAAAGTAACAAAAGGCATATAGTAAATAGGAAAGACCACATAAATAGTGTGACGAAACGCTGGTACGCCGTCACTTGGGAATCAAGGGCTCCTTTGTGTGGGTGAGCTCTGGTGGGAGCGGCCATTTAGACCACACAGACTTCGACCTAGCCACAACATGGAGAGACAAGATGGCGCCGAACCAGAGACTGTGTGACCACGTGGGTGGGGTTTTGGACTTTCCCCTGTGTGACTCAGGGAGCTGAGTCCCCTATTGCTGACTGTGTGCTAATCCCTTTACCTAATGCATAATGTTTTCCTGTGTATGCAAAGTAGGTGTGATGACATGTCCTATTGGTTATTAATGGGTTTAGTGTGATTGGCTGTTTGTTTAGGCCCAGTTTGATTGGTTGCTGTTCCAAACCTTTGTGTGTTTACTAATGAGTTTACTTGTATTCAAATACCTAGGTGTGTCTAATAAAAATTTGTTCCTGTTCTACCTTCAAGCTGTGTGTGTCTGCTGTTATTGCGGGAGATGTGTCAGCTGACTAGAACGGGCTGGCACCTGTGATTTGGCGGTGGGAAGAAGCTGCTCGGGCGGGTGTGCACAGTTGGGGCACATGGGACCCGTCACAAATAGAAACCTTGTCATTAAAGATCATCTTACCTGCTTTTCCAAAGGGGTTATATATGCACTCAGAAGCCCATGCAACTTAATATATATTGGGAGAACAATTAGATGCATAAAAATAAGAGTAGCAGAACACATACGAAATATAAAAAATTAATGGCAACACATAGTATGTCATTATTTAAGAACCTACCACAATCAAAATCCTGAACATCTCTCCTTTTACGCTCTAAAATTAGTAAGAAAAGACTGGAGAGGAGGTGATTGCAATAAAAAAAAATAGTAACAGTCCACATGGCCTTAACAAAGATTCTGAACTCTGCCACTTCTTTTAAGATCTTTGACATATGCCTTTTATAATATGCTCTTTATGCTCTTTTAGAACTTCCCTCATACCTTTCCCTTCATATACTTATATAACTTACAATACTCTCTTCCAAATGTTACAGTCACATTAAAAAAATTCATACCTTTTAACATTGTCAGCACAGACGTTATTAAGTTTTTATATTATTTTAAGAACTACTATAGATATTTTATATTGATTATATAAATTTATATAATTATTACCATCATTATTACAATACCTCTTTTTAAACTTCTTTTTAACCCAGTAATATTTATGATTTACGACTTCTCTGTAATTTTATGTCAACATCGATTTTTTACTAATAGAAAGACTTTCATAACCATTAATGATATTTATTAATATCTTTATCGTATGAGTTTTCCTAAAAACAAATAAATTTGTCCATCTGCCACTGCACAGAGCATGTTCCTGGGAATGCTCCAGGGAATGCTGATCTCCCCGTGGTATAAATATATACACCACAGGTTGATTGACAGCCGATGAGACATCCTCGGAAGATCACCTATGACACATCGAACTCCGTGGAACGCATAGAGCATTCCACCAACACACGTAATACGCCCAGTGATGCAAGAGAAACCCATACGTCACACATTAGACGTGCGGCCGAGGGTTTCCGTCAGGACAGAGTGGAACGGATGATGCGTTCAAAAAAACAGGAAAACGCACCCGGAAACAAAGAGTTGTCAGGGGATTTAAAGAAGATTAGAGACATGAGAAGAATTACACTGACTGAAGAAGCCAGAAATGTTTCATCTATATTGGACACTCTTTCTTAATTTCTTTTATTTCTTTTATTGAATGAAATAAAGCACATTTATTTGGAGAAAAGAGTTGTCTGGACCACCATCTACAAATACAGTTTGGTATCTGAGAGAAACCTCATGGGACTGGGGCATCCTATAAAGAGTCCCTCTGCGCTTCTCATGCGAGCCATATGATCGTATTTGGCTCCATGCTTGTGAGTTTGATTACCCTTAATTTATTGCATTCTGTTTCCTATTTATTGCATATTGCACAATTTGTTGGAGATTCCCGTACTATAAATATTAACACCAATGGAACGCTGGTCAAATTTTAAAACGTCACTTTTAATAAATCAGGTTAAAAGTCCCTTGTTTGTAAGGACGTGACCCACACTCTTATACTAAACACATGTTTAAACACCACATCTAAATGAAAATAAATAAATAAATAAAACTACTGAAAATGATTCCACTATCGGGAGAAATACCCACTAATGACTGTATTGGTCTACTAAAGTGGAATCCTACAAAATTAATGGTCTTGAAAAACTAAACTATTGATAAAATAATTTAAGGGTGTACGAAATATACACCCTTAATCTTTATGCCTAGAAGTTCGAGGTTTAGAGAGGATGATCTTTTCTAATCACAGAAAGTATCTATTTACCAATTTCTGAGAACCGGAGGGGTATGCAATACAGACGGAGTAACCCTCAGACAGCAACTTTATGCTGAGCCGTTCTAGATTTAGAAATACTATTAGAGAGGAAATCTACTATTCTATAATTAGCTTTACTGCACTAACCTTCTACCGTGGGATTGAGGGGATATGTTTTATAGCCATCTGATAAGCAGCTACGCTGTTTAATCAAGGTATATTCACGGGTGGTGAACTGATGAACTGATCCTCATCACTTTAAATAAACTGTTACACAATAAGACAATTCTGTTAACAGAAACTAGCAACTATGTTCCATTAGGGACCGGGGAGGATCAGTTCCAGCAGACAGCTAAGCTATTTTTTCGTATAGGCATAAGAGTTTCTAGAAATCCACCCTATTAGGGGTTGGGGGCTATATTCATCTATAAACAGAGTGCCAACAATCATTATATTTCGTGGCAAACCATTTATGATATTCTAGTAACGTTGGGGTACACCCTTAAATTATTTTATCAATAGTTTAGTTTTTCAAGACCATTAATTTTGTAGGATTCCACTTTAGTAGACCAATACAGTCATTAGTGGGTATTTCTCCCGATAGTGGAATCATTTTCAGTAGTTTTATTTATTTATTTATTTTCATTTAGATGTGGTGTTTAAACATGTGTTTAGTATAAGAGTGTGGGTCACGTCCTTACAAACAAGGGACTTTTAACCTGATTTATTAAAAGTGACGTTTTAAAATTTGACCAGCGTTCCATTGGTGTTAATATTTATAGTACGGGAATCTCCAACCTCTCTTTTTTCTTTTTGTCAATCAACAAGGGGTTAACCCCCATGGAGGTTCCAGTAAATTAAGGCTCCTTTCTTTCTTTTTTCATTTCTCTCAAATAAATTGCACAATTTGTTGTACTTCTTATCATTCTACAGATCCATTAAATGCTCCACCTACTACTGTATCTATTTTCTAGACACACCCACACTGTTCTGTGTATAATACAGGTACACACAATACAGAGATGACTAGGTACATTGCCAACAGTCACAAAAACGCGCTGAGATCTTGCTGTTTGCATAAACTAAACCAGGGGGATCAGGCCATCCATTACAATAAACATATAAGTAAAGTAAAATGACACTTGAATCCAGTAATCTCATAACAAAAAATGAAATGCAAGAGAGCAACTTTTGAAGATAAGATCACTAAAGCCTTCAACTAGCACAATCTAAACAGAAATAAAACTTGTCAGAAAAAAACAGTAACCATCTGAGAAAACATTTACATATTGTTAAATTAAGACAAAAAAAAAAACTAACTATACAAAAAAAAAACAAAGGGTCGAGAGGGAATAATATTGGATTAATAAAGCATGACTTTACATCATGTTAATAGTGAAATCTCTGGATTTGATTGAAGGCACAGAGGCTCCTATTGTGCTAGTTTAAAGCTGAACATAACCTGAAAAATGTTAAATAGGCAGAAAATAAAAACCATGGAACGTCAACTCAGAGGACCAGTCCGCTGCCTTTAGGATATCTTCTATGCGACAACCTGCTATGGAAGCCTTCAAACTCATGGTCATTTGGACAGATTGAGAGGAGAAAATAAATGTATCAATTCCTGCCAGGTACAGTAACCACTTCACCCACTGGGCCAAAGTAAGTGTGGAACCAAATAATGTGGCTTATGAAATATAATATAAAGAGGTGAGAATCCAAGAAAGCCTGTGCATTCCTCATATTCCTTCAAACAAAAGACCAGACAAAGATTCGGGTTACTCTGAAACATTGGATAAAAGAATGACTTTGTCAAATACTTTGTTCTGCATAAAATATTAAACAAAAAGCTGTCTGGTACATAAGACCATGCATCACAATCTAAAACACTCTCTGACACACGTTTACAAAAAGACTTAAACAAAAAAAGCATAATAAGCTTTGCAGATAATTGTTAAAGAGAAAGGTCCAGATTCTGATGCCAAGAATCAAGAAAAAATATCCCAAAAAAACGCTGAATTCTGGGGTTTGGGAGGTCAGACAAAGTGAATTTCTTTATGAAGATGACAAATAATAGGATGGTGTCCAATTGGGGATTCCTTGAAATCACTATGACCAGCTAAAATGGGCTATTTATAGAGAGTGATAGTCTGGTATGCCCTATTGACCTCAAAGAGTGTAGTGTAAAAATGAAGAACCATATTCAGAGGAGCAATTAAGGGTTCCAGGTTCTGACCCATACACCAACCAGACCAGCTCTGCCAAGCCCTGCCATCTTGTTCCAGGTGCCCAGGCATCAGCAAGCAGATGGAGACTATGGAACTCCATCAACTGACCATTGTTCCCTGAAATCAGCCAAGAGATGAATAATTCCCCAGTCAACTATTTTGTGTGACCTCAAGCAGGAAAGAATCCATTTGTGGTAACAACCGAGGAAGCTCTATCAATATCACCAGAAGACGTGGGAACCACTGTTGACATTGCTAGAATGGAGTGATCGTCACCACTGTATCTCCTCGGACATGGAGAAGAACTCTTGAGATGAGACTGAACCGAGGAAATACATAGTGTCTTTCTGAGGACCAATCCTGTAAAAATGCATCCACCATCAGCGCCATAATAGTGTAAAAGCGAAAAAAGAGCTTCCAACAATTGTACCTCACAAAATCACCCAATGATATATGAAACAGAATAATATATACGTGAATTATATAAAAGAAAAAGGAAAGCTCCAATATGTAAACACACCGGAGAAAAATTAAAATAATAAATACAACCTGATAAACAGGATACAATACAAATCAAAACTTGGTGTACCAATCTAAATAGGAGAAAACAAAAATGGCAACATGGTGTGATATAGTTAAAATAACAAAAAGGGGAGGGGGAAGTGAGAGCACTCATAAAATATAAGTATATGTAGGCCTGTCTCCCTTGAGGGGTAAATTCCATAGAGGTGGATCTTCAATCTGTAGATATAGATGGTAAGCAGAGATAGACAATAGCATAATATAGTTAAGATAGACAATCTTTAATACATCAGTTGCACTTAGAAGATGATAGCCAATTCCAACTGAGTCAAAATGGGAAGGATAGCCAAAAAATAATAAAACCAGTAAGATAAAAACAATGACAATAAATAAGTCACAATATAAAGTTCAATAATCCAACACGTTTCTTCCAAATTTAGGACTTCTTCAGGGATCTTGGACATTGCTGTTCGTTCTTGTTTATAAATGGCATCTGATTTCATGAGTGGGATCATCAGACGGTCAGATACGTGGGTAGCATGCCCAAGATTCTTACTCGTGTGGAGGATGTGTCTGGGTGCAACAACGAATATGACGTCATGAAGCCGGAAGAAGTACATGCAATCCACAGTGGAATGGATCCAGCCGCCAGATATTGTAAAAACAAAACTGTTTTATTTAATGCAAAACAAGATGTTCAAAGAAACACACTAGGTACCAAAACAATTGTATCTTAATGTAATGATTTTGGTGCACAGATGCTGTCCCATACTATGGACAACAAAAATAAATGCAATTTTTTTGAGAAAGACAATGTCTACATTTATCCAAACCAACACATCTGGTGGATGTCAGACTGAAAGCCATGAGAGGTAATTTATACTTGAGACCTTCAGTTTTCCAAGGTCTTCATGTTCAACATTACATTTTTATTCTTGGTGACTGCAATGTCTGCATTAGCATTATCCTTCTTTAAATGTACACCTATAACCCAATACAACTTTAATCCACCTTTCAGATTTTGGTCTCAGAAGTACACACACACACATGCATTTGGCACAGCTCAGCCACTGACAGCACTGGACAGCAAGTTGTGCTGCAGGAAGCTCAGCCAAATGACAAGAGGAAGACACTAGCAGACATTGAGTTAATGTGTATTTGCATGTCTGTCCTTACATTTGCCTCCACACACAGGTCTATTAAATGGTGCTTCCAGAGCCTAGTGCTGAGTGTGCAATGAGTTATGGAAGCACTGTTTAGTAGAGATATCACTGCACTGGAGACTAGTTTATAACTCTAACTGACATTTCAGTTTGCAATCAACACTGATCACATACTGAAATGCCTGTTATAATCATACATCACAGAGCTGCCTACCCAACATATCCACTGAAAAAAATCCATCTAATCCAGTTTATTGCCTCTGGTTCAGTTTCAGTTTGGAGGTTAGACTTATAAATCCCAGTTGTCTACCATTTCTGTGCATGGGTACCTCTACAAAACAGTGCTTCTACATTCCTGTGTTCATAGTGCACTGAGCAAAGTACCATTTCGTATAGCCACTGCCTTCACATTATTAGCATCACATTTCAATCTGAAATGCAGTTTACATTTAGATTTGAGGA